CGGCAAAGCAGAGCTCAGCAAATATTCTTTGATTAGTACTTTAGGTCTAGCAAATGGATTAGCATAAAGAATCCAACAGGGTATGTTTGATTCCCAATTTTGTCACTTTTCAGCCACATGATCTCCAGAAAGTTATCTGTATGATACACTGTGACTCAGTTTCCTCACCTACAAATCAGAGATAACAGAACCTCCTGCACAGCGTTTTTGTGAGGATTAAATGAGTTAATTAAGTCCTGGGTCCCAGTAGGCACTACATAAGCTCTGGCTATTACTATAACTCCTCCGGATGCTCTGGGTTCTCACAGAACGTCCTCTTCAAGGTAATAGTTACCAAGAACATGCCCAAGACCTTAAACACATTTTCCTTCTCCTCAAAAAAAAAAAAAAAAAAAAAAAAAAATCAACAGGTACTACTACGTCCATTTTCCAAATGGAAAACTGAGCGTTGAGAATGTAAACAACTCTGCTGTAGTTCCACAGCTAATCAATCGTGGAGTTGGGATTCGAATCGATGCTTTTCAACTCCCTACTACAGTGTCTGAAATCCTATGTGGGCTTCCTAGACCCAAGTGTCCCTCTACAAGAGAGAGGCAAGGCATTAAGGGGTGGTCCTGTGAGCACTGAAGGGTAGGGGTGGGGGGTTAGTCCATAATAGTAACCTGCTTCCCCTACCAACCCCGAGTTGGACCCCGACAGTCGACCTAAGGCCCTCCCCAGGCCCTGCCCTTAGGGGAGGTGTCCTGCTGCTGCACTTCACGGAGTGGGCGCCCACAACCGTGCGGAATAGAACCATCCCGGGCCCGAGGCCGGGTGCCCGCCCCGAGGCCCCCGAACCCCACCCCCGCCGCGGCGGTCTCGCTGAGACCCGCGGCCACCCTGGGCGTCCCCTTGGCCGTGCTGGGCCTGGACACGGAGCCGCCGACCGGCCCCCGCCGCTGCCCCGGCCACACGCCCCCTACCGCACGTGCACACTCCACGCCGCGGCCACCCGCCCGTCACCTCCGCGGCCGCCGCTCCCGGCTGTCAGCAGCTCCTTGGACACCGGGACCGCTGAGCAGTCTCGGGCGGACGACGAACAGCTCGCGCCAGACTGAGGCTCACCGCGGACCTCCATGCCCCTCGCTAAGACTTGAGAACCAGCCCGCCCAGGCCCGGATGCAGGAAAGAGGTTCGGTCAGGGGGCGGGGCCAGGGCCGCGATTGGACGAAACTTGGCGGTAGGCGGGGCGAGGGCGGCCGCGGCCATGGCGACACCTGGCGGAGCCGGGAGGCCATTCCTGTGGTGGGAAAAGGAAGGTTGGGGCTTCGGGTCCTGTAGCTGGATGAAAGAGCAGACAAAACTCAGTTTTAGCCAAACAGTTCTGAGAGCAGTGCACCCTGGGGCTCCCTTTCTCCTCATTTAAATGTTGTTGTTTTTTTTTAAATTTTTAGGTCGTGTTTTAAAAAATACACAATATAAAATCTACCATCTTATCCATTTTGAAGTGTACAGTTTAGAAGTGTTAACTTCATTTACATTGTTATGTACCAGAGCTCTAGAATTTTTTAACCTTGCAAAGCTGAAACTATCCACCGAGCAACCCTCCCTTATTGTTATCCTAGTAACGACTTGCCATTGTATTTCAACCAAGTTATAAAAAAGAGGACACAAGGAATTATGGGAGAAATGAGAGTAGGCATTGAGGAGGAAGACACCTGATCATGCATGTTAGAAGCCGATTTCACTCTCTGGTTAAAACCTACTCTGGAGATCCTTCAGGGAAAGGACAGCACCTTTTTTTTCTTGTGCCTCACTTAGAGTCAGGCACATCTTTAATGATTAATCCGTGTTTAACTATTAACTGAACAGAGAAAAGTTGAACAAATGAATAATTGTGAATTGTTTCACTGAGTGATGGATCACCCCTGTACAACAGGATTGGAGCCTTTAGAAATGTCCTCAAATCTCTGTTGTGAATTGTTGACGAGATCAGAAGCACTCCATAGGTACAAAACTAATGGAGCTATTTGTAACAATAACTTAGAAATTAAGACATTCATATTTAGCCAAGATAGAATAGAAGATGCACTGGCAGAATTCAGTCTCCCCCCCACCCCCCAGAAGCGACATTGTTAACCAGAAAAGCAATTTTATAAAATATGAAAATAAATGTAAAACATAGTTTTTCTCACTTTTAATCTTTTAAGAATAATTGATTGTTTAGATTTTTTTTTAAATTACAGGGTTTACAACAAATGTAGAAGTAAAGTAAGTATGAGAAGAATAGCATAGAAAGTGGAGGTAGTAAATCTGTTGTAGGGATCTTATATTTCATGTGAAGTATTTTAATAGGATTTTAAAATAGTGATAAGTTAAAGATGTATATTATAAATACTAGAGCAACTAAAAAAAAAAAAAACCTAAAAAGAGAAATAGCTGATCAGCCAATAGTGGAGATAGAACCTGAGCTGTAAAGTATAATCAATTAATCCAAAAGAAAACAGAATAAAAGATAAAGAGGAGCAAAGAACAAATGGGATAAATAGAAAACCAAAAAAAGATGGTAAACATAAGCTAAACCCATATCAGTAATTAGACTAGATGTACATTTGTCTAAGATTTAAAAGGCAAAAATTCTTATACTGGATAAAACAAGACCCAACTGCATGCTGTCAGCAATAAGTTCCCTTTGACTATAAAAACATACATAGGTTAAAGGTCAAGTGATGGAAAAGATAAACCATGCAAATATGAAACAAAAATCAAGCTAGAGTAGCTACATTACTATCAGACAAAGTGATTTCAAAACAAAGAATATTACCAAGTGTTACAGATTGAATGTTTGTATCCTCTCAAAATCTATATGTTGAAGCCCTAACCCCTGACTGTGGCTGTATCTGGAAATGGGGACTCTAAGGAAGTAATAATGATTAAATAAGGTTGTAAGTGTGGGGTCCTGATCCAATAGGATTAGTTCCCTTATATAAAGAAACACCAGAGTACTACTTTCTCTCCCTATATGCACACGACCAAGGAAAGGCCATATGAATACATGGTAAGAAGACAGCCTTCTGCCACACAAGGGGAGACCTCTCAGCAGTTATCAACCCTGCTAGAAACTTGATCTTGGAATTTCCATCCTCCAGAACCGTGAGAAAATTAATTTTTCTTGTTTAAGCCACCCACTTTGTGGTACTTTGTCATAGCAACCTGAGCAGACTAAGGTACCAAGAATAAAGACACAAATTTCATACTGATAAGAAGATAAATTCATCATGACAATATAACAATAATAATTGTGAATGAATCTCATAACCACACTTTAAAGCACAAGAAGGAAAATCTAATAGAAATAAAAGTAGAAATAGACAATCCTAATATGATTGTTCCAGATTTTGACACTCTTTTTTTTTTAAGTTTTTTTATTTCTTTATGTAACAGAGAGAGAGATCACAAGTAGGCAGAGAGGCAGGCAAAGAGAGAAGGGGAAGCAGGCTCCCCGCTGAGCAGAGAGCCCAATGCGGGACTCGATCCCAGGACCCTGAGATCATGACCTGAGCTGAAGGCAAGGGCTTAACCCACTGAGCCAACAGGCACCCTTGACACTCCTTTCTCAGTTATTGGTAGAATAAATATACCTAAGGAAGCCTTGGGCAAAACCAACAACCAACTTAACTGACATGCAAAACACCTGATCTTACAACAGCAGAATATATATTGTTTCAACAGCAACAGAAAAATCAATAAGATTGATCATATGTATATGCAAGACCATAAAACAAGTTACAAAAAACTTCAAAGAATGAAGTCATCCCATGTTTTTTCTCTGTTGTCAACAAAACTAAAAACCTTATCTAGGTTATCAAAAGTAAACCAAAAATCAATAAAAGAAAGATATCTGAAAAATCTCCAAATATTTGGAAATTTAAAAATTCAGTTCTAAATAACCCATGAGTCAAATAAAAAATATAAAATAAATTATAAAATATCTTGAGCTGAATTAAAATAAACACAGAAAATATCAAAATGTAGGCAATGTAGCTAGTGCAGTACAAGGAGGGAAATTTATAGCATTAAGTGCTTATATTTGAAAAGATATAAGGTCTCATTTATCTAAGCTTCCACATTAACTAGAAAAAAAGGAGCAAATTAAACTAAAAACAAGCAGAAGAAAGATAATGATAATGGAAATCAATAAAATAAAAAAATAAACACAATTTAAAAAGTCAATAAAACCAAGCTGATTACTTGCAAAAATCAGTAACATTGATGTCTCTATCCAAACTAATCAGAAAATAACTGGAGAACACACATATTATTAATCTCAGAAATGAAAGAGGAGCATTACCACAGATTCTATAGACATCAAACGGATAAGGGAAATATTCTAAGCAATTATGCCAATAAATTTTCTAATTTAGATGAAATGGACAGATTCAATGAAAAACACAAACTACTACCATGTCTCAGTCACATAGAAATTTCACAAAATTGACCTATCAGCGTGTCAGTTCTTATTTTTGACAAATGTACCACGGTATGTACAATAGTAACAAAGGATGGAAACTAGATAAAAGGCATATGAGAACGCTCTGTGGTATCTTTGAGAATTTCCCATAAAATTAAAACTATTGCAAGATAAAGAATTTATTTTAAAAGTAATTCAAGAAAATTATTCTAAAATGTGTGGAAATTTGAACATACATATCAAAAGACTGTATCATTTACCTAGAAAACTCAGCCCAGACTAGTTACTTCCAAAACATCCTCTAGTAAAATTCTGGGACTCTAAATAGAAGAAATACTGTCCAGAGTATTTTGGCAAAAAGACCCAATAAGTCATGAGGAACGAAAATAAGATGGGCATTTGACATTCCTACAGAAAGATTTTTGCCAGAGTGCAAGTAAATAGCATATATAAGATAATCAAAGGAAGTAAATTAAAGCTAAGGACTTAGCTTCACTGGTTTTCTTTCCTTTTTTTAATTCATTTTTTAAAGTTAAATTAATTAACATGCAGTGTATCATTAGTTTCAGAAGTAGAGTTCAGGGATTCATCAATTGCATATAACATCCAGTGCTCATTTCATCACATTCCCTCCTCAATGCCCATCACCCAGTTACTCCATCCCCTCACTTACCTCCCAACAACCCTCAGTTTATTTCTATAGTTACGAGTCTCTTATGGTTTATCTCCCTCTCTGATTTCATCTTATTTTCCCCCTCCCTTCCCCTATGATCTTCTGTTTTGTTTCTTAAATTCCATATATGAGTGAAACCTTATAATCTTCTTTCTCTGATTGACTTATTTCACCCCGCATAATACCCTCCAGTTCCAACCATGTTGATGTGAATGGTAAGATTTCATCCTTTTTGATGGCTGAGTAATATTCGTGTGTGTGTGTGTGTGTGTGTGTGTGTGTGTGTGTTACACATATATATACATACACACACACATACACATATATATAAAGGATCTCTACACAGAAATCATGAAAGAAATTGAGGAAAACACAAATAAATGGAAAAACATTCCATGCTCATGGATTAGAAGAACAAATATTGTTAAAATGCTATGCTACCCAGAGCAATCTACACATTCAATGCAATCTCTATAAAATACCATCTATTTTTCATAGAGCTGGAAAAATAATCCTAAAATTTGTATGGAACCGGAAAAGACCTCAACTGGCCAGAAGAATGTTGAAAAAGAAAACCAGAGCTGGTGGCACCACAATTCCAGACTTCAAGCTCTATTACAAAGCTGTAATCATCAAGACAGTATGGTACTGGCACAAAAACAGACACATAGATCAGTGGAATGGAATAGAGAACCCATAAATGGACCCTCAACTTTTGGTCAACTAATCTTTGACAAAGTAGGAAAGAATATCCAATGGAAAAAAGATAGTCTTTTCAACAAATGGTGCTGGAAAAATTGGACAGCCACATGCAGAAGAATGAAACTGGACCCTTTTCTTATACTACACACAATGGTAAACTCAAGACGGATGAAAGACCAAAATGTGAGATAGGAATCCATCAAAATTCTAGAGGAGAACACAGGCAGCAACCTCTGTGACCTCCGTCACAGCAACTTCTTGCTAGACACGTCTCCAAAAACAAGGGAAAACGAAAGCAAAAATGAACTATCAGGACTTCACCAAGATAAAAAGCTTTGCACAAC